TTCCTTTCGTACAGCACTTGTAGCAACATTCCTTATTTCTTTATAAGCAATGTAGTCAGCGATAGAGTTGGATTTTTTATATTTTGACGGATGACTATCTCCCATTTTCATCATTTCACGAATAGTATTTGTTAACCAACTAGCATAGGTTTTGATGATGTTAGAGCAAGAACATGTTTATCAAACAATGATGTTATGAAGCAATTGAACATATCTATTTTCTGATCAATATAATTTTCGCGAATAATGAGATGCCAAGGGATACCGACAAGAGTCATTGTTGAAATTTCGGAAACATCGATATCGAAGGCTGCAAATTTGATTTGACTAAACAGCGAGATGATCAGAAAAATTATGATGCAAAACTCCAGAAGAAGTAGTCATATTAGGTTGGTTAGTATCGATTACGTCGAACAAGGTTTGAGAATTCTGAATTAGACGGGCGGGTTCAGGAATGAACAGAGAAAAATCATATGCTTCTAAGCACGTATTAATTAAGTTATGAGTTAGGAGATCACCCGTTATAATAATATATTATCAAAATATCCCACAAAAGTACATTGACAGTACTTTGTGGTGCCACCGCCCACAGAGGTCCATTTTCAAGTCGCCGCTAAGATAACGTTCCTTAAACTACAAACGCAGCCCGCGGTAAGCGTTGTAGGCATTAGTAAAACACGAAGGCGCGGTACTTCGGTTCGTGGTATCACGACCGACCGGCTTGAGGTTGGCCGGCCTGCAAACAGATCTGCGGCGTTTTTCGATGGAAACTCGATATTTTACATGAATAGTACACGACGATATTATGTAAGGCGTCTCGATTCCGAACGCGAATATCTACGAGTTATTATAGTCACCTAGTGAAGGAGCCGTTATATGCACACATGTTTATTTTCACAAAGAACTCTCTTCCTAGTACTGGAGACTTATGTTGGAGCCATTTCGGAATATAAGAGAGCTTCCATTCATACCATTCCTGTACTCCGCAGAGCATGACGTTTACCTTGCATTTGTATTTATTAATTTGAATTAAATTAGAACAAAAAATGTTCAGATTTCCACAGTTTTTTATAATTTATGACTGTTTCGGCAACACCGTGCCTTTATCAGCAGTAAATTCCAGGAGATCAAGAGCAGATAAAGGAAAGGCAGTCGCTGCTATCGATTTTCTAGAATATATTACAAAAACCAAACAATTCCTTAAACCAGACACTCAGTTATATCAAATACAAATCAAACCTATAATTACCGATTCATCACTTGTTAATGACAGGTAAATATACCAATTAAATCAACCTCCAAAGTTACATTCTTTAATTAAATTACACACAGGATATGCCAATAGGGCCTGTGGTTTTGTTTTGTTACAGCACCATCAGTTAAATTCTCAACAAGATTAACAAAAATTTTAGAATATTATACTGCCTTTAAACCTAGTTAGTTATGTTATCAAAAATTGATTCGAACTAATTAACAAGATTGCCTTCGAAAAAACGTCGTTCGGTTGGGCAAGTTGTTAGCGCTTAGCGCGAAGCAGCTTTTTATTTAAAAAAGAAGACATTTCGCGGTTTCTTGTCCTAGAGGAACGCATTGCTTTTCTGTGGTGCTAATGCGGACCACTGTGGAACTGACAAAATCGATGTAATAATTCATCCACGAAAACTGCAAATTTTCAGGATCTTTTATATTTTTTGCCGATTACCGACACACCCTGTACATAATTGAAAAACTGTCCGAAGTAGAGGTTATGGTCCTGGATCTTCCACGGTTTCTGGTCAGAGAATTTTTCCAAAATAGTAAATGGTTTTCGTGAAAATAAGTTTTTTCGAAAACTGTAAATACACAAATTATAACAACCCAAGCCCAAGCCCATAACAACGTTTGAACCGATCAGCCATATTTTTTAAAGATTTTGATTTGTTGTTAATAATTTATTCCTGAAAAGTACAATTTTCACGGCCTTTCAGATTTTTGTCCATATTTGAAACACCCCGAATATAATCGAAAAAATGTCTGAAATAAAAGTCATAGCTCCGGATCTCCCGTGTTCCCTGGTTCTAAAATTTTGACGATCGTTTGAATGGTTTTTAAAAAATCATGTTTTTCTGGAAGCTAATTTTATTTACTTCCTTGCCGAATGTGAAGTCGACAGCTACATATTTGAATGACCTATGAGGTTTTTTGATATTGAAAAGAATATCCCGAACACCCTGTATAATAAGTGAAAACTTTTGTTAGACCATTGACCAAACGCGATTCTTTTTTTTTTCGTAAATACTTCCAGACCTCCAACCCCCCCAATATCAATAGGTTCCGTTTGAAGTTGGTAGCTTCAAATTTCCGACACTTATCGTGTTTCATAGGAATGTCCAAAAAACAGCCGAAACTCGAAAAAAAAAGATGATCTTCGGGGTTCGATCACGGCCATTTTTTAGTGGTTTATGTCTCTCATACACTGCTTAAAACAAGCCAAATTGGAAGGCGGTCTGGCAAACAGTTATAGCCAATTAATGCCCCGTCTACAGAGAAACGGAGAACAGAGAACGGTCAAACAGATAAAAAATGAAAAGGTTTTTTTTTCGACGCTGATACCATAATTTTTCGAAAACAACAAGATTAAAGACGGTAAAATTCCTCTTAGGGCAATTTTGGTTTCATTTGACGTCCAAAACCTATTTGCTAGCATTCCACCAATTGTCGTCATTGACATAATAGACAATTTTCTCACTCAGAGGCAAGTGAATCCTATCATAAAACAAGACGTGCTGATAGTTTAATAGTTTGTTTAGACCAAAATTATTTTGAATTTAATGGTCAATTTTGTATTGCTAAAGAGAGATTAATTATGGGAAACCCACTTAGACCACTGCTTGCAGAAATTTCCATGGACAATTTAGAAAATACCATATATAAACATCCTCTGAGTAAAGGATTTCTCTGGTTGTATAGATACGTGGACGATGTTTTTGCTTGTTTCACTGGAACAGAAAGACAACTGCAGTCCTTTTTGAATAATATTAACTCCATACATAACAGTATAAAATTTACCATAGAGACGGAACTAAATAACTCTTTAAACCCTCACACACGGACACAATAATACATAATAACTAAAATCACCCTTACACACCTTTTATCCACGAGACTACTTAATATACCACTTTCCACAGAAAATTTTCAAAAAGAATGAAATATTGTAAAACAAATAGCTTTTAACAATGGTTACGACCGATCTTTGATAGATAAGATTATAACTAAAAAGCAGTTTCCAATGACTGAACTCTATCTATCCCATATTAAACACCCAACACAAAAATTAATAAAACCCAGAAAGAAAATTTCTTTTTTCTACTCCCGTCTGTAAAATACCTAATTACCCATCGATCTAGCGTGCGAGACGAGTCACTTTCCACGTCAATTTCGTTTCCCATGACTCCGAGCCACTTCGGACATTTCCGGGATTTTACCGCACGGATTTGGGAGCAATCGGATGTTTTCGGAGATATTTCCCACGCTTTGAATTTTGACGTTTGTCAATTCTGTACCCAGAAACTGACGGTCGTATCTAAACTTGGTATTAATATTGCTTTTAAAACTGAAAACACCATAAGACATTTTTTAGAAAACCAAAAAACTAAATTACGAAAAACTCAAAAATCCGGAATCTACAAGTTGAAATGTGGATCATGTCCCAAAACTTATATCGGACAAACAAGTAGAACATTGAAAAAAGGCATTAACAATATAAAAGGGCGTATAAAAATAAAAGTTCGGATTTTAACTATATAAATTCAGACATGCACAACTTTGACGCTACTTTTCATATTTTACATAATCAATCAAAACGCCCTGCTACTACCCGTTTATATATATGGGTGTCGGACTATAGTTGTATTTTGTATTTGGTAAAGGCACGGTGTTGCCGAAACAGCTGTCATAAATTATTAAAAACTTTGAAAATCTGAACATTTTTTGTTCTAATTTAATTGTGTTAAATGGATTTTCATCAAGTCAATCCACTGGAACGAGCTGCGCAAAACCAGAGTTATATCAAACATTCACTTGTGAGAGTAACCATCACATTACTCATTCCAACTTGCATGTTATCTACGGTACCCAGACAAAAGCCCAGAACAATCATTTTGAGACAATAAACTGCTGCGATGGAAATTTTTTAAAATAAGTTAGTCTTCCCACTCAGAAAAATGAAGTTAAATCACAGCCCAAACAGCCATCTCTAAGTTTGCTTGTTATTCAACAGTATCCGGGTCACGAAATCTTTTTTTGAACCATAAAAATATAAATTGCTGAGGAGGAGTTTCCTAGCTGCCCTGCCCTGGTCAGTTATATTGGGTCCAACTCCTAGACACTTGAATTCTATTTCAACTTAACTAGAAATTAAAATGAGATTGTAACTTTTGAAATTTCACGTTGCCGGTTCAACCTGACCCAAGCACATTTTCGCAGTCTCCGAAGGAGGGAATTAAAAGTAACGATCATTTTCTTCTCGCATCAAACTTCGGTACAAATCGAACTCTGAGTTTTTGTTTGCGTCGGGATTAAATTCGAGACACGCCCATTTCGGGAAAGAGATAAAAGCCATTACGTATGCTGACAGGGACATGGAAGAAATTTGTTTTGACGAGACTCCTCGGGTCTGAGGAATCGAATAGTCATAACATAATCGGCACGGGTGCGGTCGACGTACTATAGCCAGGCGGTACCGCCTCGCGTTCTACGCGAGACGGTACCACCGAAGGACTAGTCAAGGTACCACGACCGTACCTCGACTTGTACCTATATGCCATATGGCGCGTACATGTCAGCGTACCAAATCAATGGGTTCGTTGTTGCCGATCGAATACGCTATTGCTGGGAGCGACGAATGCAATGTACCGTGCCACGGGGCGCGCATTGGTACTTTATTCGTTCTGGAACGACCCATCAAAAAAGCGGGAATCCATCTTTATCGTCTAAAGCTGCAACAAAGTCGTACGTACCTGAGGGACAGTCGCAAGTGTAGGTGTGCTTTTCGCCTGGCCGACACAGTCCCTCGTTGCTACAGGGACTGGGATCGCACGGTATATACTCGCTCTCGCAGTTTTGACCCGTATATCCTTCGTTGCAGGTACATCTGAAAGCAAAAGGGCTCGATTGAGTGTCGAGGAAGAAAGAGCCTGGCAAAAACCGAAAAAATATCAAAAATCGAGACATTTTATAATAGAAAGAGACGGCTCAGTGATGGGGATTGTTGTCCTTCTCTTGCTCATTTATATGAAATGTTCTCGTTGTTTCCTGAATTTAAGGCAATGTAATTGATGTAGTTCTTACCTGAAAGCGATTACATTATTTACATTTTTAGTGTTAATATTTGATACGCAATAATATTCTCTTTAGACTTTGTATAAAATGTATAATTATATTATTTTTTTTATAATTTGGGAATTATTAACATTAATTCACTCTACACTATTGTTTCAAAATATAAAGATGGTCTAATGGACAGTTATTTTTTTAATTAAAACTATGAACAATTTTTGTTTTTGCCATTCATTGTTTCATCGTTTTTTTATTTAAATTATTTTCTGTAATTTGATTTATACCTGTTAAAAATACTTCTCAAAACTTCACATTATTTGTCATTCTAACTTAAAAAAAAAAGGTTTTCGAGACAAACTTGAACTGTATAACCACACGTATACACCTAAACATGTATATTTTACCAATATTTTGTTTATGCAAAGAAGCCAAAATTTTTAATTTTCTTTTTACATTTTTGTGAAAACCAAATCAATACCAATAATACACAATCAGATTAAGTAATATCCGGTAGGCGGAAAAGCCTTACATACCTAAAAAAACTTGTCTTTGTCATTAACATCCGCACGAAATTGTTAGCAGGTTGGTTCAAAGAAGGATAAAAAATTATAATACGACCAAAAATATAGTGCATTTATTGCTCTGATGTTTCAAGTATTTTACAGTACCTTAACCTTCGCAGGACCGTGGTAAAACCCATCCCAATAAATGTTTATTCTGCATTAAGTAGGTCTTGCCTGAGATGGACCGTAACGAATATTTGTAGAAGCTTGAAATTTTTATTTGAAACGTGAATGAAGTAGAATGAATGAAACGTATCAGGCGATTTGCATCAATGTTAATATGTTCGTATATATTATGGAGGTATTTGATTGGGATCCTTACAGTAAGTACGTATTTATGTATCTGATTCTCGAGCTTTGACCCTGCGAGGCTGTTTTCACTGTATTTAACTGAGAGATAAGTTTCAGTTAATCATTTTTCTTGTGTGCCTGTCGATTAACAACATTCTTCTTCTTGTATTTTTGTGTCTTCTACAAAGTTATTCGATTTGTAAACAACACTGCACCATAATTTACCGATAGTACCATAAACGTAATTCGGCAAGAGGTATTTAATATTTTGCATATTAATATATGCATGCATATTTTGTACAAATGTATTGAAATAGAACGTAATAACTACTTTATACAAATTTTTCTATGTACATGTTTCAAGAATTGATCGGCGAAAAAGTGTAGGTACGTTGTTGTGTAGGTAGGTAAGACGGCCCTGGAATGGTTGCGGGAAGGGGTTGCTCGACAGCGAGTTCTATAAGGGACTGCGATAGTAGCCAAAGTTAATCACGGGATCGGTTGTAAAAGCACTATATTTCTGGTCGAAGTATAAAATGATATCACATCAAACGATTTGATCCCCCATTGGTATTAAGGAAAATGACTAAAAACAATTACCACTTGTCTCACTCGAAATAAAATTTGCTTCACAAAATCTACATTGACTGTGTAACCAAGACCATTAGAGTTATATGTATAGATAGAGGTGTTGGTATGTTCAACAACCGAATAAATACACCTGCTCGAAGTCAGATTTAATATAATTGGTTGCTAATCATGCATGTATGTAAATATTGGGGCGTTTAACCGAGCATGTTGTGTGCGTCCACATAGGTACCACCGACCCTGCCGGTAGTACCTAAACAACGCTTCTCTAGAAATAAAACTGCGGGTCCAATTAGGGAACAATGCAGCGCGAGAGGAAGCGAGAGACAAAGAAAATATATTAGAAAGCAGTACCGAACTAATTGCAACTGCTAAAATATATACAGCATCGCACGCCCGCCGTTGTTGCCGTTTCTTCGCAGAGTCCGGCTCGGAATAGTAAAAGTAAGAAATGGTCTTGGGGAAACCCAGCCAAACTTGTCACCGCAAGGTACCGCAACAAATTAAGTGGTACCAACGACCGCTGCGACTTTACGAACATTGTTACAAAAATAAGTTCGACGGAATCTGTACGAAAGTCCAACTATATATGGTTTCACTATAAAGTACTTTAAGTTGCCGATGGTACCGTGGCAACGTGGCCAATGAGGCGCCCGCGGGCGTGAACGATGTTGGTCGATAGATGGAAACGAGAGAGAGCCTGTTATTTAAGGTACGTCCGTGGCGCGCAGCGTTTTCGCCTCCTCTGCGGTACCGCCTTTGGCGGAATGCGCGTTTTTTTTTCTCCATCTCCACGCCCGAACAGCACCGGTCACGCGAACCGAATTACCAAAACTTCTAGGGTTAATTGCGGGTTCCGAAGGAAAAAAAAACTCCGCGAGCAGTACCGCGCAAAGGAGACTGGGGAGAAGACTCGATTCCTTCCGAGAACCGAGAGACCCGCATTTTACGCTAGATTTCAACCGTTCGGTACCACTATTTGTACTTAGTGCCTATTCAAATGATCGCATCTATAGCATCGTAAGCGGACGGTACCATAAGTAACGATATTATCACCAATCTAGAGGAATTTATATGGTTTCAGGCGGCGGTACCTGCTCGAAGATCTCGATGGGAATCTATTAACGAAATACGACACGTCATGTTTTACATATTGAGGGAACTGCAGTGGTAAAGCTCGGCCAAAAACAAGAAGGAAACCTTAACAATCGTGTAAAGTGATACGGTACCTAAGAGGGTACCTAAGTTTTGGTTAGTTTTATAAGTGTTTTTTTTTTGTAAAACAAATCAGAATTTCTGAAAATCAAGTCAGAATTTTGGCAAAAAGAAGTAACTAAAATGAAGTGTCCTTTTGCTTATTATACAAGGTGTTCGGAAATTGGGTTCGGAAACTCGTTCGTCTCCCTTTATTCATATTATCAGGTCCACCAACTCTTCTGTGTATGTTGATGAATGTCTTAGTGGAACGTTTTTATCGGAATAAGCCTCAATATAATTGCCATCCCATGGGCCATCACAGTAGCAGTTGGATAATAAGCTCTTTTAATAGAAACTGATTTTAACGAATTTCCACTACCATTATTTTATCACGTTGAATCTTTCCTCCAAGGTTCCAAACTCAATTTCCGAACACCCTGTATAAACTGAATTTTATTAAATTTTTACTTAAAGTCACCCGTTCTGACTTTCTTTCGTAAATTCTGACTTATTTTTCAAAAATTCTGATTCAATATAGAAATTCTAACATAATCAAAAAAATCCTCGCATGTTGTTCAGAAATCCCAACTTTTAGAAAAAACTGACATGTTTTTCAGAAGAATTCAGAGCAACGTTTTTGGCGGAATGTCATTTATTTCGTAAAAACGAAACATCCTTTGTGCAAAATAAGGTGCGGTACTGATAATAATTAGTATCGTGAAAGCTGCGGTTTTCTTTCAACGTAAGACTTCGTCAGTTTTAAAATGGCTTTAAGGCGTTGCTCTCCGAGTACTTAATAAGCCATTACGAACGTCATTGAAAAATGTCTTTGTACGCCTAATTAGTGCACAGTTACGTAAACACCTATATCGGTAATATCCTGCAACCACCGTACGTTTCCGCGAAGGAAATCCTTTTCAATGTCTCACGCGGCTTATAATTTATTCCGATTAATATTAAATTTATATCGTTTCGCTGTGACGGACGCGGTATGGTCTGTTCATAGATATAAGAAAGTGACCAATTGCTTTTGAATGAGATTATCCAAGAGTGGTCATTAAAGTTTCGTAATAGAAAATAATTTTATACCTACCTGTGTTTAATATTCTTCGGTTTGGTATACTACTTAGTTTAAGTTTATTAGTCTTCTTCTTGACGTGCCTTCTCCATCAGTGGAGGTTGGATATCACAGTGGCAAATCTCTCCCTGTCTTCAGCAGATCTTATGAGCTCTTCGAAGTCCATGCCAGTCCACTGACGTATATTCCTCAGCCATGACAGTTTCTTCCGACCCAGCCCCCGCTTGCCTTCGATCTTTCCCTTGACGCTGAGCTGTGCGTATCGGTATTTGTCGTTTCTCAGGATGTGACCCAGGTATGCAGTCTTACGGACTTTCACAAGCTTGAATAGTTCTCGTTCAGTTCCCAGCCTGCGCAAAACTTCTTCGTTCGTGGTATGCGCTCTCCATGGTATTTTAAGTATTCTGCGATATGTCCACATCTCGAAAGCTTCCAGTTTATTAATGGTTTGTGTTTTTAGTGTCCATGTTTCGACTCCGTACAAGAGAGTAGACCACACATAACATTTTGAGAGTCTTAAACGCAGCTCGAGGTTGATTCGTGAGTCGCATAGGAGCTTTCTAAGTCGTACAAAAGAGTTTCTGGATTGTTCTATTCTCGATCTTATTTCTGTGTCTGGATCTAATTTGTTATCTATCCAGCATCCCAAGTATTGAAACCTGCCCACTTCTTCTAGTATCTTTCCATTTATTTGCATTGGTTGTGGGACATTCTTTGATTTTTTAATTACCATTACCTTAGTTTTCTTAACGTTTACTTTCATATCTGAATAAAGGTTAAACAGCAAAGGGGACAAGACGCAGCCCTGTTGAACTCCCCTGCCAATCCTGATTTGCTCGGACTTGGATCCCTCTATTCTGATTCTAGCGCTCTGGTTCCAATATAGGTTCTGTATTAGAGTATTGTCCTTTTCATTCAGGCCTACGCCACGAAGCGACGCCATGAGCAGATCGTGTCTCACTCTATCGAATGCTTTTTCGAAGTCTATGAAGCAGATGAAGATGTCTCGTTGTTGATCATAGCATTTTTGCGCTAGCACCAGCAGGCTAAACAAAGCCTCTCTCGTGCCCATTCCGCTCCTGAAGCCGAATTGGTCAT